AGCTTCTCTGCTGGTTCAGAAAAGATCGATTGGAGCAGAATTTTCTGATCAATTATGAGTATGAGGGAAAGTTCCTCCTCAGCATCTGTGGAGGAACTTCAGTATCATGACTCACATCCTCCGATTAAAGATGGAGGCTCAACACACAACGAGGTGTAGCATCATAAATATTATGTTTTTAAAACAGCAGCCTGTCCGGTAGGCCTTCAGGGGAAATCTTTATGTAAACATTTCACTGAACATGAAGTGTGACTGTAAATATTTCTGATCTATTTAATGTGTAATAAAATTCTTCTTGTTCTTTTTTACTGAACTAAATTGAAAAAGTCTTCTCATTGCTCCTGTTTGTTCTGTATACATCTGTGAGTGAAACATCCAGTTTCTCCTGGAAAAAAAAAACATTTATCCTTTTTAGAGGTTATTTCTATTTGATGCATTTGAGAGTTAGAACTTGCGTTCCTCTGTCTGTGTTCACTAAAACGGTAAAAAATTAGGTCAGTAAACCGATTATAAAGTGTTTTATATATTCAAACACAACTTAAATGCCACTTTTATTCATTTTTACCCAACAGGTGTTTGAACAAGAAACATCTTTGATCTGTTGTTAAAACCTGAGATAAGATAGTGTCAGATTCATTTTTTACATTTAAATATTGTTTTAATCTTTGATTTCGTTCGCTACATTATATAAGCAACTTATGAGGTTTTTTGCATTAAGAAGTCACGGTGATCTTTATTTGGCTAGTTAGATAGTTTCAGATTGTGTTACTTCGGTAGCACATATACTAAAATTGGAACAATAGTTTCAGATTATTTTTTTGTACATGTAAATATTGTTTTAATCTTTGATTTCGTTCCCTACATTATATAAACAACCTATGAGTTTTTTTTTTTACTATTACTAAGTCACGGTGATCTTTATTTGGTAAGTTATTAGTATAGAGCTTTTATGTCCGGTGTCCTTGAACGCAGCGCTACCCGTCTGAGAGGGAATCACGAGAGTTGGGTCTAAATATCGCGATAGTTCTTTGGCCCATCACGGAACTTCCATCATGGCAGGCAGTAAGTTGGTTCTGGAAGGCAGAGTGAGTCTAAAGAGCTTCGCTTTGGGGCTCAGCGTGCTGCTGATCCCGCTCATCCGGACCTGGTTCGGACACCTGGACTGGGTCTTCGATTATCTGACAGAAACCTCCGGGAAAATAGCCATTTGCGTCCATATAGCGGCCATTAACGGCCTCTTGCTGCTGGTGTACAGAGGACCTCTTTACAAGGTACACAGCCTTCCGGCTTTAGTCTAGCCCCGTTTTTATCCCTTTAAAGTGTCTGGTAGTGTCCGTGTGTGTGTCCTAATGTGTAAAAAAGCTCGTTTCCTTCGTTGGACCGTGTTAGCTAACTCACTCGGCTAGCTTGCTAGCTTCTGTTCGGGGGTTAATCCCATTATCTGAGCAGGCTGCAGGCTTTAAGAGCCCGGGATAGAAACTTAAGCCCAGAAAAGCCGGGAGGCTTCCTCCCGGGTCACGTGACTTATGCTGTCAGGAAATGTGCATTTTATGTGACTTATGCTGTCAGGAAGTGTGTGTTTTATATTATTTATCCTGTCAGGAAATGGGCATTTTATGTCATTTATCCTGTCAGGAAGTGTGCATTTTATGTCATTTATCCTGTCAGGAAATGGGCATTTTATGTCATTTATGCTGCCAGGAAATGTGCGTTTTGCTCCCCTTTAGTGTCTCCTGTAGACAGAGTTTGTGGGAGGTGTTCAGACCCCTGCAGACATGCTGCTGTTGTTGATTTGTGGAAATAAACCTGTTTTCCTGACCCTTTTCCCCGCAGGTGGCCGTGAGGGCCTGTTTCCTGGGGGCCACTTTCGGCTGTGGGTTGATCATCAGCTTCTCTGAGACCACCTGGACGCATTTTGGCTGGTAGGTGCAGAACTCCAAACTCCAGATCAGCTTTAATTTCTCTCCTTGAACCTTCTGAAGTGGTCCTGAATAATTCTCCAGGCTTTTTAAAAAGGCCCCTAACTCAAGGGCTGAGCCCTCTGCGTCCAATCAGCTTAAAGTGGATCAGAAGCATAAATATTAGTTTCAAAAGTCTTCATCCACCTTCAATTTCTTCATATTTTCCCTCAAAGCAGCCAGACGTCCTTTAAAGTGTTTTTAGTGACTGATCCAGGATTTCTGAGGTTCTGGTTCTGGTCCTGGTTCTGGTCCTGGCCCTGGTCCTGGTCCTGACCCTGGCCCTGGTCCTGGTCCTGG